TTTCCCAACAAGCCGTTGCTACAGATGTACACTATATATATATGATGCAATATTGTAGCCAAAAAAGAAATCACAATCGAATACATTTTTTATGACAATAGATTAGAGAGAGAAAACATATTTCTCACACTATTATATGAAGTTATAAAGTCTGACATTAAAATAGGTGGTTTCGACGAAAATGAAAAATTGAACAATAAGTTTTCAAATTTGAGAGCATATCTAAAACGATTCTTTATTTTAGTCTTTGTAAAACCCTATTATAAAAATTTAAAAGTGTTTTTCTCTAAAATCAAAAATTCAACCTTTATATTTGTAGTTATAAAGTGTCTTTGGAGATATTCGGAAGAAATACTATTTAATTTTCTAAAAAAATAATTAAAATTTGAAAAAAATAAAGTACTACTAGAATTAAAAAATGAAGCAAAATATGGAAATAAAGTGTAGAAATATCGTTCAATTTTCCAAAATTTAAAGAAAAAAAGAAAAAAGTATCTTGGAATAAAAAATAAAGAAAAATGTGAAAATTGAAACACTATTAGAGATGCTGTTAGTTTGCATCCTCTCGCCCTATTCCCTATATAAGATGTCTTGCATTGCAATTTTATTGATTAATAAATATGTGTTGTCTGTCCCACATACGCTGTGGTGGAGCTAGGAAAAGAATTCACTAGGGTCACAAATTTATATATACATAATTGGTTAGCTAATATTTAATAAGGGGGTCAAACCACTGAAATTGATCCAGTTAATCAGTACTTATTACAAATTATATGCCTAAATTGGATCAAATTTAAAATTTGATGTGTCAACTGAATGACTGATCTACATGCTTCTTAACTGGCTCCGCCATACGTATGTGTGAGATGCAACTTTGTCTCCTGTAGAGATTGTTTTTTTTTTTGTTTTTCTTTGAACACATCCTGTAGAGATTGTATTTTATATATTTATCTTAGGGAAAATCGCATAAAAAACCTTCAAGGTGGCAACCACTTACACTTTAAACCCTGAGAGTATTTTACAAGCACTTTAAACACTCAAATTGGCAAATTTAGCATATTAAACCTCCAATCTGACTTACTTGTACATCAAGTTAAAAATGTGACCGGTACTGTTCAAAAGCGATGACGTGTCGGTTTTTTTTTTTTTAAATATTTTACTAAAAATAAATATAAAAATACAGAAAATATAAAATTCATTAAAAATTGAAAAAAATCAGAAAAATTCAAAAAATCAGAAAAATCATAAACATTAAAAAATCACAAAATAATTAAAATATTTTATTAATAAAATATTAAAAATAAGAAAAACTTAAAAGAAATTATAAAAAAATCCCAAAATATGAAAANACTAAAAATAAATATAAAAATACAGAAAATATAAAATTCATTAAAAATTGAAAAAAATCAGAAAAATTCAAAAAATCAGAAAAATCATAAACATTAAAAAATCACAAAATAATTAAAATATTTTATTAATAAAATATTAAAAATAAGAAAAACTTAAAAGAAATTATAAAAAAATCCCAAAATATGAAAATTCAAAAAAATTTAAATAAAACAAAAATTTTAAATCCCAAAATAAAATTAATATAAGAATAATAGATAAAGTAAATAGATAAAATAAATAATTTTATTTGTTTTATTAGAAAACGAGAAAACACTATATTTTTTTTTAAAAAAAAGAATCATTATCTTCAAATGATTCTCGTGAACTAAATCAAAGCAAACAAATTAAATTCCAAGTCATTTTGTTGCTTATTAGTCAAGGTTTTCTGGATTTTATAGCTAGATTAATATAGAGTATTTTAATAACTGCTAAAAGATTTGGATTTTAACTTGTTTCCTTTGATTTGGTTCACAAGAATCATTTGATGGTATATATCATATACATTCAATTATTCGATGACATATATATAATATATAATAGTGACACGAAAAACAAATAACAATATAATTTTTAAAAAAAACTTATGCAGGTGAAAGTCTAGGTGCTAAAAGACTTGGAATTTAATTTATTGCTTTGATTTGGTTCACGAGAATCATTTGAAGATAATGATTCTTTTTTTAAAAAATTATAGTGTTTTCTCGTTTTTTATAAAACAAATAAAATTATTTATTCTTGAATTTATATTTATTTTATCTATTATTCTTATATTAGTTTTATTTAAATTTCATTTTTATTTTATTTAAAAAATTTTGAATTTATTATTTTGAGATTTTTTTTGAATTTTTTATGATTTTTTTCAATTTTTAATGAATTTTTAATGATTTTTAATGATTTTTAATGAATTTTTATATTTTCTGTATTTTTATATATATATATATTTTTTTTAAGAAAAAAAACCGACACGTCATCGCTTTTGAACAGTACCGGTCACATTTTTAACTTGATGTACAAGTAAGCCAGATTGGAGGTTTAATATGCTAAATATGCCAACTTGAGTGTTTAAAGTGCTTGTAAAATACTCTCAAGGTTTAAAGTGTAAGTGATTGCCACCTTGAAGGTTTTTTATGCGATTTTCCCATTTATCTTATGTGAAAAGAATATCTCGTCACGACCACCGTGTCTCCTTTATTTCTTCTACTGTACCTGGAACATGTTGGGCCTGTTTGTTTCACCATATCCAGATGAGTGTCTGGATGGAGATGATAGATGAGAGTTTTGTTTATTTATACACTAAAAGTACAACTCATCTAGATGGATCATCCGGATGACTTTGAAATTTTAGGCATAATTTTGAAATCCATCTGGATGGACCAATTTGAACCATCTGGATGGAGATGATTCTTCCAAAATTGTATAATGTGTATTATACCCTTTTATATAATTCATAAATTACAAACCTAAACATACTATTATTTTGTAACTTACATGACAACCACATTTCCTCAAATGATAAAACCGCATTTTTCCGTCAAAACCATAAAAACATGTTTTTTCCGCCAAAACTGCAAAAACGTGTTTTCTCGCCAAAATCGCAAAAACGGATTTCCTACCAAAATCGCAAAAACATTTTTTCCGTCAAAACCGTAAATACGTTTTTTCCCAGCTAAAATCGCAAAAATGTGTTTCCTACCAAAACCGCAAAAACTCGTTTTCAGCCAAAACCGCAAAAAATACGTTTTCCTAGCAAAACTGCAAAAACCCGGTTTTCTGCCAAAACGCATTTTCCCGTAAAAACCGAAAAACACGTTTTCCCGCCAAAACCACAAACACGCGCTTTCCTTCCAAAACCGCAAAAAATCCGTTTTTTTCGCCAAAACGCGTTTTCTCATAAAAACCACAAAACGCGTTTTCCGTAAAAACGTGTTTTTCCACCAAAACGTGTTTTCCCGCAAAAACGCGTTTTCCCGTAAAAACGTGTTTTTCCACCAAAACGTGTTTTCCCGCAAAAACGCGTTTTCCCGTAAAAACGTGTTTTTCCACCAAAACGTGTTTTCCCACAAAAACGTCTTTTCCCGCCAAAAGGCGTTTTCCCGCCAAAACGCGTTTTCCCGTCAAAACGCGTTTTTCCGCCAAAACGCGGTTTCTCGCAAAAACGTCTTTTCCCGCCAAAACGCGTTTTCTGCCAAAACGCGTTTTCTGCCAAAACGCGTTTTCTGCAAAACGCGTTTTCTGCCAAAACGCGTTTTCTGCAAAACGCGTTTTCCCGCCAAAACGGGTTTTTCCGCCAAAACGCGTTTTCCCGCCAAAACGCGTTTTCCCGCCAAAACGCATTTTTCCGTCAAAACATATTTTTCCACAAAAACGCATTTTCCCGCCAAAACTTGTTTTTGCGGAAAAACGCGTTTTTGCGGAAAAACGCGTTTCCCGCCAAAACGCGTTTTCCCGCCAAACCGTGTTTTTTCCGCCAAAACGCGTTTTCCAGTGAAAACGTATTTTTCCGCAAAAACGCGGTTTCCCGCCAAAACGTGTTTTTCCGCAAAAACGCGTTTCCTGCCAAAACGCGTTTTTCCGCCAAAACGCGTTTTCCCGTCAAAATGTATTTTTCCGCAAAAACGCGTTTTCCCGCCAAAACATGTTTTCCCGCAAAAACGCGTTTTCCTGCCAAAACGCGTTTTTTGCTAAAACCGCAAAAATCTGTTTTCCCGCCAAAACCGTAAAAATATTTTTTTCTGCCAAAATCGCAAAAACACGTTTTCCCGAAAAACACATTTTCCCGCAAAAACGTATTTTTCCGCTAAAATCGCAAAAACGTGTTTCCCCGCTATAACCGCAAACACGCATTTTCCTACTAAAACCACAAAAACCCGTTTTCCCCCAAATCCGCAAAAACTCATTTTCGCGTCAAAATTATAAAAAATATATTTAAAATTAATATCATACATATGACTAAATTAAAACAAAGGGTATTTTAGTAATTTTTTTACTAAACTCATCTTGATGGAGAAGAAAAACAGAGAAACAAACATGAGTCCATCTAGATGGTCCATCTAGATGGACAAACAAACAATCTCAAAAATATGGATGGACCATCCAGATGAATCATCTAGATGGATTAGCTGGATGAAGATAATAGATGGTGAAAGAAACAGCACCGTTCTCGAGGAGTTTACCAGTCAAAGTGATGGAGAATTGGACATACACGATCGAGTAACAAGTGTTACGACTATGTGTGTTGCGGACAGTGTATAAAATGGAAAAGATACCTTCAACTGCAGCATTATATATATGAGGGGGAGAATTAGGAACGATAAGAGCACGGCCTCTTTGATCTCTTGGTCTTTATTTTAAAACTTTTAATATTTACAAATATGGATAGTTAATCATTTCAGAGTAGACATTTATTAACAAAAAATTAAAGATTTGTTTGTTGATTATTTAGTTTGTCTTAGTTTAACACATCTTGGAATTATAGTGGAGTATGCAACTGTAGAAGCAGATCCGCCCTGACCTAAAGCCTAAAGTCCATAAAACATGGGTTTTAGTCGCCAACTTTTAATAATTTTAGGGGTCTCTTTTACAGTAAAAAGTGTTTGGTCTAGTCGCTTGATGTTTTAAATATGCCTTTGAGGTGATGTTGTTTGTGTAGAATAAGCCATGTCTCTCTGCAATGCATCGTAAACTCATATTGTGGAAGACATTAAACCTTACCGAAATCGCCTTTAAATAACGGTTCATATTAAAATGCTCATCAATCCGTTTGTTCATGTAATAATAAAACATAACTTTTGAGATCTTTTGAACGAGGCCCGGAATGATCTTACCAGAATAAGAATCTCCAGCGACGTAAAAAGGGTTGGAGTAAAACTCAGGATGCTTGTTTAGCCACTGCACAACAACAATAAGAGAAAAAAGAAATAAGTATCTGTGCACAAATTAAGATATGCCTCAAGAGACAATTAAGTATGCCTACCACCTTCTGAAGAAACTCATGAACCCGAACAATTTCTACAGTATCACTGATTTTCTCAGTAATTGAAGTTCTTTTGTAGGAGAAACCGGTTCCAACAGGCTGATACAAAAACATTATATTCGCCATCTGAGAAAATGTTCCACAACTTAGAAGATTGAGAATAAAACCGAGGCCAGAATCCAGGGACGGCTCACCTCTGTTAGAGGCCCTATTCAAATTTTAGAAATATACCCCTTTCTATTATAATTTAATTAATTAAAAAAAAATCTCTCAACTGAAAAACCAATAAGTTTTGTTTGAACCTAAACCCTTGTTTACTCTGTTTGTGCTCTGGGCCGAGCCTGCCGGTATCGCCCGGATTTTGATTGACAAATGAATTAACTTCCTACTACATTTGTCCATGAATATGTAGTAGAGACCAAGGATGGGATATTTCCACTGTAAGCCTCGAATTTTATAGTTACGGACTGTGTTTTATTTTTCCCTTTTTTCTGGTTAAACGAGTCACTAAAGAGTACATTGAGTTAAAAATAAATATTTCAGGAAGTACCAATTTCATAAAGAAAGCCATAAACAGAAGAACATCCAGGGCCACTGCTAATCCAAATAATAAGAGGGTCTTCTTGTGGATTATTCTCAGACTCAATGAAATAGTAGAACACAACTGAAGTTGTTGAGTAATGTCAATTTGTAATCAAACCAAATCAGGAGAAAAAAAGTAACTAATGTGTAGCGTAATTTGCTTAGAGAAGCTGTCAAGTGTCTGAAATAGTGTTATAGTGGTGTGTAAAAAAGAAGTTAAATCAAAAATAGAGTTATGAGTTATTGGGAGTTGTTATGGAGTTGTTAGCCATAGGATGGCATAGCTTTTGATATAAGATATGTAAGTCTGTGAAACAAAACTTTTTATGCAAAGAATCAAGCAGAACATGTTTCTGATATTCTCTAAAACAAACACTTCAAATTGTGAGTTATGACTGAAATCATAACAGAGATATGAGTGAACAAAACAGAGCAAGAGTTCACAAAAGTTCTCATAAGCACAACATGGTATCAGAGCTCCGCTTGATTCTAGGAGACTCATTGAACAAGATCACTGAACAAACAGACTGCAGAATGATGGAAGCCAAGGTCAGAGACACTGAGGCACCGGTTCTAGGAACCAAACAGAACAAGATGTCAGAAGAAAACATAAACCAGAAAAGCCGAGAAATGAAGAAGAAAAAGAAGGACGAAGATGATGAAGTATACCACACATTCAGCGCTAGTCAACAAAGCCAAGGGTTAAAAGACGACCGCAGTTGGTTGATTGACAGTGGGTGTACAAATCACATGACTCCAAATGAAGGAATGTTTGTAAATCTCAACACAAACATCAACGTACGGATACGTGTAGGAAATGGTGTTGGGCTTCTATCCAAAGGGAAAGGAGACATTGCTGTAAAGACGCTGAAAGGCAAGAGTATCATGTATTATTCAAAGAAAACCACTTCATAATCTATGATAAAAAGGGAAGAAGTATTGGGAAAGTTCAAATGGTGAACAAGAGTTTTCACATAAAATGGATTACTCAAGAAGAAACAGCCATGGTGGTCAACAATAATGAAGCAGACCTATGGCACAAGCGACTTGGACACACTGGTTACTCTAATCTGAAGACTATGCAAGCTCAGAAAATGGTACATGGTCTGGCTAAATTCAAGGTAAACCATGAAAGGTGTGAAAGCTGCATCCTTGGCAAACACAGTCGAGACTCATTCCCAAAAGAATCAGAAACAAGAGCAAGAGAGAAGCTAGTGCTGATCCATAGTGATCTTTGTGGACCAATGCAACATATATCCTTCAGTGAAGCAAGTATCTGCTCACATTCATTAACGACGCCACAAGAATGGTCTGGGTATACTTTTTAAAGTCAAAGTCAGCAGTGCTTCGAACATTCAAGAGATTCAAGAACCTTGTTGAGAATCAATCAAACAACAAGATTAAGAAACCAAGGACAGATCGAGGATCAGAATACTTGCCTGAAATCCCGCCGTGATATGCACAGCGGGTCCCACATAAATAAGCAACTAAATATTTTTCAGTTTTGGCCGTTGGATATATCAGATCAAAGATTTTACAGTACGTAAAATTAAAAAGAAAAATAGATATGAGGAAGTTTAAAATTTGAATATATAATTAAACGGCCATTACTTGGAAATATTCCCTTTAAGACATTTGAATTTGAAATTATATAATACAACGGCCATATGAAATTTAAAATTTGAACTAAGATTTTACAAAGTTATTGTTATGAATTTACAGTATTCCGTACAGATCCTTCAGCTTTGATGTCGAAACGATGGCCTTGATTAGCCCAAGGGAGTCTGATCTGAGCTAGATTTTTGTGTAGCCAATTTGAATGGCGTGTGAGAGGGCCGCTCGAATCGCTAGGGCTTCAGCAGCAAGAGCCGACAGGACAGGAGTCTGCGATTGAAATCCCGAGTGTGCTTGTTTGTCCTGAGCTGTGAAGATCCACCCTAGTCCAGCTGCTTTTGTGATCGTTCGACGCGGCGTTGGTGTTACAGAGAATAATCCCAGAAGGAATCGAAGGCGTTAGTGGTTGATATGGGCTTATGCTGTTAGGGCTTGATGATTTGTGATAGCTTTGAGCCTGATTCCATTCCTGTGCATTCGTAAGAGATTTTGTGATTACAACCCGGGGAGAGAGGACTCGTGATTAAAATATTTGTTGGTTATGAGTTGTCCAAATCATCCAGATAATCCAGAAGAAGATGTCACATGTACTCCTGTTGGTGGTAGACAGATCCAGTGTGCCGATTCTTCAACTGCAGAAGTAAAGTTGGGACACGAAGCTTAGATGAAGCGATTCTGGACCGGAACTAGGTCCCAAACTTCAATAGCAAAGGGACAGTGGAGGAAGATATGATTAGTTGTACCATAAAACAGACTAATTATTTGAAGTGAATTGAAACTTTGTGTATGTATTTATAGGAGACTCCAAGACCCCTTTTAGTGTACTTTGTCGATGTGGAACAATTACAAGTGGGTTTTTAATTCTTTTTATTTTTCAAACTCGTGCTAATTATTAGAAAAAAAAATTGAAACACTAGAGAATCAAACCCTATATCTGTTACTGCAACAACTAGGTTTGGGTGTTTTTACCTCAACCCGAAATACCAACTTTAATCCCAACCGGAAAAACCAAAATCAAATCCGAACTGTTTTACAAAAATAACCGAATGGGACTTATGAGCTTACTACTTTGGACTTTGGTTATAACCCGAACAGAACCGAAATCCGATTTAGGATCCGAAGATATCTGAAATTAGTTAAATATGTTAATGTTTTTATATATGTTAAGGTGATTTAGATATTTTAGAGTATTCAAAATATTTTTGTATTTTGTTTTATTTGTTATTTTGAATACTTTTTATTTAATTTAAATAGTTCAATTAATTTTTAATTAGATTTGTAAATAATTTTTGTATTTTGAATTTTTTTTGTTAATTTTTGAGGTTTTGAAAAAGTATATTTTTGGAGAATTTTTAAACATTGGTTAAATCCGAACCGAACCCAAAAAGAACCGAACCGAACTCGATCCCATAGTTACTAAAAGCCGAATGGTACTTATGAACATAACACCAAAAATCAGAATCACCCAGATCGTGACCAATTTCACCGAATGCCTAGTCCTAGCAACAACTGTGTCTCAACCACTGGACTATGTTTTTTCTACGTCTTATTTTCATATGTATTACTATATACATGTATATTTATAATTTAAAAAATATAAAAGTAATCTACGTGTATATTTTGGTTATCTCCGATTTTTCAGCAACGTGCAAGGCATGAGTTTCCCGTCCGACTAGCAACCAGCAAAGTTCTAAATAGAGATAAAGATATAATAATAAGTTCGACTCAATTCTTAATTCGTTTCATCCGAAAAATCTGAATATTCGTAAGTCATCTAAGTAAAACAAATACTAAAAGTTAAGATCCATTAAAAAAGAAACAAATCACAAATACTAAAAAAATTAAAACCGAATATCCAATCCACTCCGTCGTTCACTACAAGAAAACATAACATTAGCGATGTAATTAAACGATGAAAATTATTCCTCGTAAATTTACATCGATTTTACGAGTTCTTACAAGGAAAATTAAAATCGACGTTATTTCGTTGTAAAATTACAACGAAATGATTTCGTCTTTAAAAAAATACTAAAAGTTAAGATCCGTTAAAAAAGAAACAAATCACAAATACTAAAAAAATTTAAAACCGAATATTCAATCTGCTCCGTCTTCACTATGAGAAAACATAACATTAACGACGTAATTTAACGACGAAAATTATTCCTCGTAAATTTACGTCGATTTTACGAGTTCTTTACAAGGAAAATTAAAATCGACGGTATTTCGTCTTAAAATTACGACGAAATGATTTCATCGTAAAACAAATGTACTTTTACGTGGTTTTTACGAGGAACAAATATTTCTTCGTAAATACGACGTAACTTTAGCGTCTTCTTTACGACGAAATATTTTACGTTTATTTATGAGGAAATGTCGAGTCTACCAACTTTGTAGTTGTAACACATTTTTTTTCGGTCACCTGACAACATTTGGTCGTAAATTCCTCGTAAAATTTCAACAACCAGATTCAAAAATTTCCTATAAATATGGACGTTTGAACATCATTTCAAACACATCAACACTACAAGAAAACACAAGAAAAAAAAAACGTGAAAAAAATGTCGGGGTCTGGGAATATTTTCGAGTCGCGGAGGTGGATGTATATGCACAGAGATGGTAACGGGAGAGTGATGAAAAAATATCTCGAAGGACTGGAGAAATAGGTAAGATGTATCAAGCAAATTCCACACCGCTCGCCCAAGAAATATGTAAGATGTTCTGTCCTTGTCGTAAATGCAACAATTCAAAAATGGCAAATCGTGAAAATGTTTGGAAGCATTTAATAAATAGAGGTTTCACGCCAAATTATTATATCTGGTTTCAACATGGAGAATGTTATAATTATGAAAATGAAGCTAGTAGTAGTAATAGCAATTTTCAAAAAGAACCGGTCGATCATCATTTACATAATGAACAAAGTTACCATCAGG